CATGGACCGCAGGGTGAGCGCCCCCTGCTGGCCCCACTAACACCTCTTCCAGCAGCAACCTTAGTTTTTCCCAGGAGGTCTCCCATCCAGGTACTTACCAGGCTCACACCTGCTTAGCTTCAGTGGGTTGCCAGTTGTGAGTTGCAGGGTGATATGGCTGCTGGTGACCAAAGTATTAACCAAAGTGACACACAATGATGTGGATTTTAATCACCTCTTCATGGAGTGGAAAAACTTCCAAGACTGATGGAAACTGACCTGAAACAATGCACCAATGCACAAAAGGGTCATTTCAACCTTAATGACAACACTGAATTCCTTATACTGACTAGTTTAGTAATAACCATTGTTTTTATAACCTGAAAGGGGCAAAGGAAGGACAACATTTTGAGTAGACTGTCTCCAAAACTTATGCAAAATGAACTACAAATCCCATGAGGGAGACAAATTTCCCGCAGATCATAGGTGCATCTATGTGTGCAAACAAAAACATACCTCTTCAAAATTAAATTGTTTAAAAAGTGTGCTTTTTTTTAGTCACAGTCATGTAAAGACTGCATTTTTAAGATAGGATAATTCAATTGCAATTAACCTCACTACTCTGCCCAAACAAAGTAAAAAAGAAACTTTATTTACAGGAATCTTAAGAAGCACCAAATGTCACAAAAAATAAACAACATACTGTATTCTTTAATTAAGTGTACAAGTTAAGATGAAGTCTGAATTTGTATCTGTGGCGTCATTTTAAGCCTTGCTAACAACTTCTACATTCAAAAGGTTTGCTGTAACGTTCAAGACCCTCAAAGAATTTTAACATCCTGAATTTTGAAGCATGTGAGATCTTAATAATATAATTTGACATCACATTTCTTATAAAGGTGTAGTACATTCTTAGACATACATACTAAATTTTGATTTTCATGGATCATTAAGTACCTGTAAACCTTCCTTCACTTCATTTATGATTAAGTCTGTTGTGAATTTCATGTTAACAAATTCACAGATTAAATTAATTAGTGTAAACTTGTGCACATTATATTTAAAATACACATATATTCAGAGTGGAATGTAAATTTAACTTCCATTTAATGCTGCACCATTAGTTTAATCTCATACAGAATGTCACCATTTACAGAATAAGAGGCCTGAGAGTTAACAACAAATGTAAAACAAATACTCTTGTGTTTCAGTGTTTGTTTACCATGCATGTACAACATTATATAAAAAGCAAATATGCTATGTGTATTATGGAAGAATCAGAGATTGATTCCACACTGAAAAGTAAAAAAAAAGTTTGAAATAAGGCTCATGTGTAATATGAGCCTCATATATTACCTGATTACATGATTCTCAAGCTCCAAGTTAAATTACAGTATATATGCACTACAATAGATGTTATCATAATAATAGTCACTAATTTGTTAAACTGTTCCAAGTAAAAATTATGCAGTTAACCTACTATGCCTAATTTGTTTTAATAGGGGGGTACATTTTTCAAATACAAACATAACCACAAGACTGCATAACCTTCACTTGTTTATATTTTAATGTTGATTTGTATATTATCTTACACAACAGCATATGCAGTTTTTAATGGCCAAAGTACAGGCAAAATCTATACACAAAATACAAACCGATTTTGCACCATTGACTGTTATGGGCTGGAGTCTGTTCGCTTCACAGTGAAGGATATAATCACTGAACCATTGCAAATTCAAGAGATGTGAAGTAGTTCTCTAGGACTCTCCTCTTTTCTTCACAAACAATGTTCTCCTTCTTCAACTGAGCTATTACATTTTCCAGAGAGTTTATTTTAGCTACAGTTTTCTCCTCTTTTTTTTCCAGCTGTGTTATCTTTGTGTGAAGACTGGCGATCTTGGTCCATAGGTGGTCTTTGTCAATGTCTTGCTTTGAGTATGAATGCTCATAAAGTAAAATGTGATCTGCACTGCAGATCTCCCTTTCAGATTCCTCTGCAGAATCTCTGCTATATTTCCTATGCAGACTGAGAGGAAGCATGTTAATTGTCTCTTTGAGAGCTGTTTTCAGTCTTTCATGTGATGTTTCATCTGAACTACAAGCACCTGGGATTTCTGCATAATCCACAGTCACAGGGGAATCTGATTCAGGACAGCGCTGTGTATCACTGGACCCACTGCCAGAAAGGGATGTAGGAGTTACCAATGTCCTCACTCCTTCAGACTCATCATTTGTCAGTTGGGTATTGTATTTGGTTTCTGCAAATGAAGTATTGATTTCAAAAACCTCACAAGATGACGTTCCTTCCGGTTCAAGAGCTTCTATGAGAAAAACAGTCTTGATCTGGCATACGTCACCTTCAGTCTCATTTTTGTCATTTTTTACTATGTTTTCCTCTCTAGGACATTCAGTGTAACATCTATCTTCTTTTTCTTTGGGAATTTCATTTTTCAAAATGAGCGCTTTCTTCTTAGAAGGTGAGGAAGGCCTGACAGACTTATTAGTATCTTTGATATCAGACATCTTCTCTTTAGGTCTTGCTTTCTTTTTAACATGACGTCTATTCCACTCATCCTGGAAAATAAGTATATTTTGGAGATGTTACAAATGAGCTCAGATAATTCCAAAATGCAAATTATTCACAACAATATGAAAAGCAGATGTGTAATTTTTTGTAATGATTTCAGAATAAATAAATAAACCTCTGTGAAGTCTGTCAGTCATGTAGTACTGTAGCAACTAGATACCCCTGCCTAACACACACCATCACACACCACTTCAACTGGTTTGTCGTACGCAATTCTTAGTGTATTGTACTGCACATCCATGCTACATTCATTAATGCCCATTGGGGTGTCTACACAAAACCCTGACTAATTGGTAATGGCGGCCTGGCCTCAGTGAGAGCATTTACTCCAGTCTCCAACATTACCAGAAAAACAGACTAAATCAATGCATAAGTTATGTTCAATCAGTCCTCTCAGTTATGTGATGATTTAATTGAGTCATCTGAGTTTGTCACAGTCGCTGGCACAATATCAAATGATGAATTAATCAAAATGACACTTAAAACCATTCAACCAATACCTAAACTAGAATATCATTTTATTATAAACACACAGGCAGTGGACAAAAAGTATGGAAACACCAATGGAAACTGTTAAAACGCTGATGGAAATTAATAGAGTATTGGGCCAGCATGTGGCATACTAGGGCATACTAGTCTCTACAAGTGTCTGGAATTCTGCAGGAGGGATGCAGTGCTACTCTTCAAGAGCAAGCTAATCAACCGACGCCAGGTTGATGAAGATGGAAAATGCCAATGGCGATGGTTCAGAATATCTCACAAAAGCTAGATTGGGTTCTGGTGATCAAGAACGTGATGAAGAATGACTCATATGACCATTTCACATTTCTCTTTCCTCTAATAGATTCACAAATGCGCACTTCCAGGTGTAAAGATCAAGACACTCTGCACTGCAACCAAACTACAGTATCCTGCTCTGTGCAGCCCTGTGCCCCTGGTTGAAATATTTTGAGAATTCATCTGCAGTTGCTCACCTACTTTATTTACTTCAAATACACAGAGATCTTGATCCTGGACATGCGTTTCCACCCACTGCTGCCCTTTGCTCAAGTCTTTCGCTTGGATTCCCATGCTGACATCACCTTAGGCACCGATGTGTGTGGGACATGAAGCTCCTGCCAAACATCCCAACAATCACCCCTCTATCAAAGCCACCACCGTCTCCTCATGAAGTCAAGCTAGCCATAGATAAAGCTAGCCATTTATAGAAAAAAGACCCATCCAGCATTTTTTATACATGACACTAAGCATGCTACTATGTTTATTGCTTAATTAACACACACCTATCCACACTTATCTGGAAGTCCAAGATTTTAATACACTTGATGTCCCTCATTTACCCAGGCGTTTCCATTTTTTGTCCGCTACCTGTGCATGTATAGAGTGTTGCCCCCTGCCCCAATAAGGCTCAGTGTATTTTAAACTCCTTTGTAAAGTGCTAAGAGACAAGATTCACATCGTGCTGTGAAAATAGGTAGACAGGATGACAATCTTTTAGTTTCATTTTCATCTTTTGGTACAGTACAGTCTTGACATTTGTGCGGTCTCGATGCAGAAAACTGTTGTGAATAGCCTAATTAGTATATAATCAAGCCCACCCCCATACCGTTGCATAATTTACTACAGTATAAAGCATGTAAATAACATAAGCAACCCTCCAATCTATCCATTTTCTAACTGCTTCATCCAATTAAGGGTTTCAGGGGAGCCAGAGTCTATCCTGGCAAACAATGGACGCCAGTCCATTACAGGGCAAGAAGTAACCCTCCATTATGTGATAATTAAAGTACTAATACATCGGTTAATTAAAATAACAATCGAGTAAAACAAACAAGAATAATCGCAAACTTAAGCATCACCTAAAATAAACAACACGTATCCCTTCTAATTGTTCTAATATGTTTTACCTGCATAGATTGTTCTTCGTGTTGATCACATGATAAAGGGAAAATTGTAGGTACAGCGCTGTGCTTCAAATACCGTATTCCCCAACGCATATCAAAAGAGTCCTCCGTGAAGTGATCGCTGCACAGGTATTGATGTCTACTCGGTGTCCAGTTTTCGCGTTTCATGTTAATTACCCATTGCTGAAGTCGTACTTGGTCTTGCAGTGGGAACCTTTTGAAGATACATAAAACACTAATGGTAAGAAAAATTATACACGGTTGTCCTTACATAAAAAAATAAAATTGTATCCGATTTTGGGGCAATTAAGATTTGTCCCATTTTAATAACAATCGTTTGAATATGCCACATTTTCCGTTATGTAGCTCTGTAAGCTAACTTTCATGTCTAAGTGAGATGTGTATCTGTTCATGTCAGTACCAATTGAATAATGAATTATGAGCAACTGAATTATGTTCAACATTTGCTCTCACATTCAGTATCATTACCCTGGGTTATAAAGAGTATATTAACCTACATTAGACTTAACTAATCAATTAATTATAAACGTCAACGTCTGCTTCAGGTCGGTGTTTTGGAACCGTTTTAAAGTAAAATGTGTACACAGTACATTAGAAGATTTTCCCTGCTATTTTAATCCATTTTCAGATTTATTTTAAATTATTCATTTTTGTACACCACTATAAGGACACTTTTAAACATTTTATTACAAATTCTGTTTTCTGTTGCAGTAATAATTATAATCAAGCGCACTTGTTATAGAAAAAAATAAGAAAAGCAGAATATATTTAAATATCTGTGAAAAGTTCAATTATTACACATATAAACAATTTCAAACATAACACATGACAACGCATCATACAACACCTGCGTGATTTATCTCATAAATGTGATATGTTTTTAAGGCAAAACTTACGGATAGAAACTAATTTTCTTATTGTCTTTCGAAGGCAAGCCTCCTCGATTTTTACAGAGTTTTGCAGCACAATAGCGGGGCATAATTCATGAGGCCCGAGTCTCTTATTTTCTATATTTTTAATTTGTTTCACAGTATTTTAGCAATAACCCTGCATACAGCCTTTTTTACATGTACACTCTTGTGTACTTCCCTTTGAAAGGTGTTCCAATTCCGGGTGATGACGTATACTTATAGCCGGATATGATGTTTTTACTTCAGACTACAACAGCCTTCCACGTGCTCGGAGTGACAAGAGTCACATGGTACGGTAACAGACCAATCAGACTGCGCTTCGTGGTGTTTCGGTTCTGGAATGCAGTGGCACTAAGCGGAATGTCAGTAGCACGGGCGTCATCAGTGTTTGATTGTCTTCAATGCGGACGGGAGTTGGGGTCTCTCTCTGGTACGTTATAAGCTTTTTGTATTGAATTTATATTCAGGCGCGTTTAGGGGGCATAATATAATGTAACAATTTGTCATTTTCAATTGTATATGGTGATTAATTTGTGTTTTGAGATGTGCGCTGCTGTTCCTACGCTTAGGAGGCAACAAATTACGATGTAAAATCTGTTAAAATTACGTCAGCCGCGTCTGTTAATGCACTGTAACACATTCGTCAAACTGAACTTTAAAGAAAAGCCAGTCACAATATCTTTCTCTTTTCAGTTCTGTGAGAGCTTTGGTTTGACAGCCTCCTCTGAGACTTGCTTGCTGTTGCTTGGCTACTGTTTTTCAAGTCTATTTTTCGCCTGACGTCATTGTATCTAGTTCTTATAATGTTCACCTGCAGAACATCGCAATATTGTAAAGAATCAACATTACGTTCAATTTAAAACTTTAAGTTATAAAGTGTGTTGTAATGGCAGTAATAAGGTACCCGGTACCCTGTTCAACTGCGAAGCGGTTACGTAGCGTAGAGCATAGTTATGCAGCCACAAAACTTCTTTTAAAGCTTCCAAGTAGGGTGTTTGGTAATTACACAAAATAAATGTAATAATTTATTCAGTAGTAGTAAGTGTGATACATTGTTGGTTTTAAACGACCATTTTTATTCATTTATTATTTTACATTTATAGTACATAAGTCATTTGCGAAAATATGCGTCTTTATAGTGAAGGCCTGGAGACCCCTTTATACAACAGGAAATTGAAATTGCTGAATAAGTGATGTATAGTACCTGGGCTCAGTGGTTCATCCAACGAGTTTGAATCCACGACCCTCCGGCCCGAGTCCTGATCACTACTGCACGCTGCTGCCCTTGTTCCTTTTTAAAGGATGTTGTAATTAGAAATCACATTTTGCATGCCATTTCTCACAGTGTGTATCAAGCCTGATAAGTGTAGTTGATCATATCGAGGGCGTAATTCTGCTTGGGAGTTATTATATGTTAGCAATAGTAGTGAAGGTGAAGATGCATACGTTTTTTTAAAAAAAATATTCTTTAAATAGTTTAAATTTTAGGGAGATTGAAAATAAGTGGGGTATTTTTATTCCTCACCATTATATTGCCATACGTTTTGCTTTTGTACACTTCAAACAAGTAGTATTTTTTGGAGGTTAGTGGTATAAATAACATTTATATGGTATACACTAAGTGACTAATTTTTATTCCTCAATCTTTACTTTTACCAGTGACTGCTTTACCAAAAATTCTAAATAGCAATCATTTTCATGTAATTTTTGCTGTCCATCCAGTGTCCTGTCTTTAAACCATTGCTTGCTGGGTTAGGCTCTGGTTCTTTCCATGACTCTCTAGATAAAGTACTGTAATTAGAAAATGGATGGAAGGATGTATAGTTAAAACTGCAAATAAATCGATTATGAAGGTTATGTGATGAAAGAAATGTTCCATGGGTCAAGAGGTTTGTGCAGTTGATTAGACCCACATTTTTTATCTTCACCTGTACTTCTGCTTTTTTTTGCAGGGTAACCAACAACATGGCGACCGCACAGTCTGCTTTAACCTTTGCGGTGTGCATTTTGATGATTTCAGAATTGATACTTGCAAAAAAGGACTACTATAACATTCTGGGTGTTCCAAAGGATGCTTCAGAACGACAGATTAAGAAGGCCTTTCATAAACTAGCAATGAAGTACCACCCTGACAAAAACAAGAGCCCTGATGCTGAAACAAAATTCAGGGAAATAGCTGAAGGTGAGTTTATTGCACTTCCCGATGAGTCAATAGAATAATTCTTCTGTGTCTTAATGGCATTATTTTGAGTAGGTTTGGTCATTTAAAATCCTTGAGGTGTAACTAGTAAAGGATTCTCCTTTAAGCTAATTTTTGTATTGCTAAAGAGGTTTATCCATTTTTTTAATAAACAGTTTTGTTCTTCTTTCAGCATATGAAACCCTATCAGATGAGAAAAGAAGGCGAGAGTATGATCAGTATGGACATGGGGCTTTCCCTAATGAGGGTACAGGAAATGGACACAGACATCACTTTCATCAACCCTTCAATTTCAACTTTGATGAGATGTTTAAAGATTTTGACCTTTTTACTCAGAATCGCCAGAAGAAGCACTTTGAGAATCACTTCCGGGCTCACCAGGAAGCGCATAATCGAAACAAGGAGTTCTCCTTTGGAGGAGGAGTCTTTGACGATATGTTTGAAGACATGGAAAAGATGTTTACATTCAATGGTTTTGATAGTACCCGAAGGCACACAGTGAGGACTGAAAGCAGATTCCAGGGTTCATCAAAGCAACACTGCAGGACTGTCACACAACGCAGAGGGAACATGGTCACCACTTACACTGATTGTTCAGGCTCGTAAAGTCCATGCAGAGCTGCAAGTGTGAATGATATGATCTTGTAACTAGTTTTGTGATTATTCACATTTAGCAACTTTGTTTATAATAAGGATAATTTAACAAATTAAAGCTGACTTAAGTGAGGTTCTTTGTATTTGGCAGGTACTTAGATATAGATTACAAAGTCCTGTTAAAATAGCTATTGATTTTTTTGTGTTCATATGATTACAAAATTCTGAGACTTTAGATATTTCATGTGCAGCAAATGCAGTAAGAGGATAATTTTGCTTACAAGCAATAAAAACATTAACTTTTGGGATGCCACTAAGGGATGAGGTGCAGACTTCCATTAAGTGGTATTTCACAACATTAAATTACAGAGAAGGGGCTGCAGTGGTGAGCATTGTTTCCAATGAAGGTGTAATGTTTGTTGGTGCTCTAATGTGATTTCATCACCTTTAGTTTGATATAAAGAGCTCGTGTTATCAAAAGTCTTTGTAAAACAGAATTTTAATTTGCACCATTATAACTTGCCATAAAAGATAGTTTAACTCATTTAATGTGAGATTAAAAAAACACTTTCATCCATTGTGTTTTTCCTGCAGATACTATACATTTTGTAAAAACAATTAGTGTAAAACTTAAGTCTTTGGCCCCCAGAATGAGCCTTAACATTAACAGTCCTAAGTTGTTGTGGAGCTGAAATACCACGTGCAATTATACACTTTAATTGTGAATTTTCAATGTAAGCTGTGTGCCCAAGTCAGTTTACTCAACCTCATCCTGTGAAATAGATTTATTTTGTATTAAAAAGGTATCTTAAATATTGTCCTTGACAGGAATTTTCTGTTGATGCTGCAGCATATTCTAATATTTTCTTCCTTAGAAAGCCAATATAGTTTTAATACATCACCTTTTTTGTTTAAAGATAAAGTGGTTATGAGATATTTTACATTTTGTTAGGCAAGGAAAAAATCTCATAGTGGACCTTTACCTTCAATTTTGCTGAAACATGGATCCTCCATAGCAGTTTATACTCAGGAAGGCTTAAATTACTTTTGCAATTATTGTATTGAGTTGCATAAGCAGTTAGTTAGCTTTTATTATTTGAAAACTTTGTCTAATGTTTGTTTTGTATAACACCAGCTGATTATAAAGTTAGTCCCTTTTTATATGGATTTGAGCCTGATCATCAAAGTAACACATTAGTATTTGCTATAACAACCGGAAGTCAAAATTCTTTTGGTTTTCATTTGTGCCAATGTTCAGGGAAGTGTGCACTTTCAAATTTAATTGTGGCAGTGAATTGACTAGTTTTAAATTCACAAGAATAAGTCTATTTGGCAAGCATAATATTGTACAATAATTCAATTAGAGATTGAAATCTCTAAGAAATTAGTCCTCCCTCAATATCTAATTCAAAGTCATATTTTTAGAAAGAGGTCAAAAAGGGTTTTTAAGGTTCATGGGTAGGTAGAATAAGAATCTTTTCAGATATATTTGCTGTAAATGGCAAGTGGATAGAAAGCATCAGAAGTGATATGGCTGGTTTTCAACACTGGGAAGAAAGGAGATGATGCACTCCAAATTGCATTCTTTAACTTTGCCTTTATTAATGTGTTACTTTGGTATAACCATCACTTAGAAAATGAAAAGAGACCAACTGTAATCACCTTATTTTTTTAGGTACCTTAACTTAAAGGCTGTTACCTCAAACCTTCTCTGTAGAGTTGTCTGTGATCTACAGTTTCATAATGTGCAATATGTTTATAGCCAGCTTTTTTCCCTGAACTTCGTCTTTTGTCATTTCTGTTACTGCTGGCTTCGTAGTAATGTGGAACTGATATAAAACTGTCTTGCACTTTCATTATTTTAATCCTATGGATGAAATGTATGTAATTTTAACAGACCTAAAGAGTCACAAAATATGTGTGCACTTGTGTGAAAAAATAAAATGGAGATTATTATACTTCTGAGTTTTTTTATTTAAACAAATTTCACCATGTATCTTTTAAATCCTGTTATTAAAAGTAAAGATGATTTTATCACTGCATTTTGGCATGCTTTGCGAAATACTGTAGGTTAGTCTTTATTTGCTGCTTGTCAGAGTAGACATAGAAGGGCATTAAAAACAGAATTAATGCCCATCTAGTGCCTTCTCTCTTAATTGATTAGAGCAAACCAAAATCTTATGTATGTATTCATTATCAGAAAAAGGTTACTGTAAACAGGAATATATTGCAGATGATGGGGCCCAAGGACTCAGCACATGACTACTCCTGTCCTTGGCAGTGTGCTTGTCCATTGCATGGCTGCAGAATAACTGATAATTAAGAACAGCCAATCAAACCTAGCTAGCATGTCTTTGGGGTGAGGGAGAAAAATGTGAATACTTCTATACAAATGTTGTCCTTTATTGAAATTCTATTGATATATCTCTATTACCTGTCTAATCCTTTATGGATAACACAGTATCTCAAACCACAGCAAGAACTTCACCCATACATAATAATTGTGGGTTAAATACATGCCTAGGACACATTTTGTGTGTATTTGCATATTCTTCTAATTTTCATGTGGGGGCCAGGTTCATTAAAAAGTCATGCTGGTTAGTGTAATAAGGTTGTTCCTGAATGTGTGTATGCACTCTATCATAGGCTGCTATCCCATCCAGGGTGTATTCCTGCCTTGCACCCTATGCTTCCCAGATACATTCTGAGTTGCCTGACCCTTATCAGGAAAAAGTGGTGTTCTGCTGATGGATAGGTGAATGGACACAACATACTGTACAGTGATGCCCAAGGAAACATGCCCTGTCCTAGTTTTAGCCATCTGGTGTTTTTACTTACCTTATACTGTATAGTCTTTATAGTCTACTGTATAGACAAACAAACCTCTAACCGACATGACTAATGTACCTCAGTGAACTTCTTTTTAATGAAATTTGTTGCTGATGTCTGTTTTGTAGCAATACTTGAGTCCTCAGCTGGTTGTGCAATGTCATGCTTAGGGTGAGCCCAGCACAAGATTAACTGATAATGATACATATAGAGGTAACATTAACAAGAAGGTATCTCAGCATCAATTCTTGTTTTTAAATTGTAACAGCTTAATGTTGCTATTGATGCGGGCTACTGCTTTTATAGCGCTGATTTGCTCTGCAAAACGAAAAAAATCAGCTGCTAAATGTCTAACTAAATGACTATTACTGGTAGATAAAAAATGTTTTGTTCTCTAGGTAAGTTTCTCTTTAGCTTGTGCAGACAGCATAGGGATTAGTAATGAAGATCGCAATCTGTCCAAAATGACAAAATTCAACAGAAACAAAAACTTTGGAGTGTTTAACCATTTTTTTAAAAAAGGTATTTTTAAATTAAATTACCACACATTTTGTAATAAAAACATTGCTTTAGTTAAGTTAAAAATGCATTGACTGTAATATATTGCACTTTGTAAATAACTATGCTTACGCGGCTTTGTTTTTCCTTGCTGTTGTAATGTATTGTAGCAAAACAAAGCAGCCGCACACTGCCAGACCGTCAACAGGCCCCAGGCTAGAGCTGCTCTCCCATGGGCACTGAGGATGGGGCTGTACCCTCTTTACTGTTCACCCACTGGCTCCAGGCTTTTCTGGCTTCTCCCGCTACCTTGTCTGGTATCCCTTCCGTTGTTTCTGAGCCAGTTCTCAACCACTACCACTATTTGCCTTCTACTGTTGTGGGAATCCATTCTCTGGCGAGCTCATGGTGCAAACACAAATCTCCTCCTACCATAAACTCGATCTTTCACCTCGAGTCACAACTGACCTAGAGTTGTCTCATCCTTTCCTAGTTTAGCTCAAAGCAGTAGAAGTAGCAAACTCCATATTCCTGTGCACAGGTTGTACCTTGACAGCTGCAGCTCCGAGCCCCGGAACACTGTAATCCTGCCTTTATTTATTGGCCAAGCACACTCTTGGGATAGGGTGCTTCCTGGGCATGGGACAGCGCGATAGGATGCCAGTCCACTTGCAGTCTCTCCACACACAATATGCTCGCAAACTCTGTCTCCTCCCGTGTTCGCTGCCTGACTCCTAAATGCTCAAAGTTGCAGGGCAGCTGTACAGAACAGCACACGCTGCAGCCACGGCTCACCTGGATTGACACCGGCACCCATGAAGAAACGCTCATGAAACAATATACAGTAAAGAGAAAAAAACTGCTATTGAGAACAAGTATGCGTTTCAGTGTTTTTCATACGTCACTCACTAATCAGGATAAATATTTGTCGTTATCGGTATTATTTACTTATTTTGTTTGTTTTTGTTTATTTACTTATTTTGCTGCTCGCAGTTCCAAACAGATTTTTCTAGACATGTGGTGCGGTATTTTTATAACTGACAGCTCGTGAACATGAACTACACCTCCCATTTTTCACGCGTCAGAAGTACAGGAAGGTTCCGCATCGCGACGCCGTTTGGGATTGTAGTTCATTTTGTGAGCAAGGGGCTTATATAATAGTGTGTGTATCTTCTTTAAGGACTCTAAATCCCAGAATGCATTGTGAAGGCTACTACCGCAGTTGTTCCTTGGGCCGGGTTGGTTAAATGGTGGTTGTGTGAGGGACATTGTATGACTTTCAGTGCTTGTATTTAGCTGTGTAGTCCATTCATTTTAACCGGTCCCCATTTATTTAAATCATGGAGGCTCTTATCCCCGTAATAAACAAACTTCAAGACGTCTTCAACACAGTGGGAGCTGATATTATCCAGTTACCGCAGATTGCAGTGGTTGGAACACAGGTAAAACCATATATATACTATGTGCATTATTTATCTATTTAATTGTGCTTTTTTTTAAAAAAAAAGAATGCTTTGCACAATATTATACGTTTATCTTTCTGTATATCTTTATGTTTATAGTAGTGTATAGTATCTTAATAGTGTTGATAAAGGACGTAATACATTTTATTCGTCCCATTGCTTCGGGTGAAACTAGATGTGAAAATGAAACGTAGTCAGGAGGTATCCATCTGAATCAAATGTGTTAGGTTGTAAACAACAAATGTGTATCTGCTTTTGTAAAAAATAGTTAAAACATGCCCACGGATTTTAGAGAGATATTTTTGTATCCGTTCCATTTTCCCTTGTAATGCGCAATAGCGCTGCAGTGAAAATGAAATATTGTCATGAGGAGGTGGTTATTCTCATCAACACTAGGTCGGAGTTCCATTAGCAAAAACTAGTATAGGGGTGCAAAGAGACATGTCGATATAAGGAAAACGATCACTTTAGTAAGAGATTGCAAAACTGATCAGTGACAAAAATGACAGTAGTGTGGGGCAGAACATGCAATTGGCAAACTTCTGACCCCCTTTTTGTAGAACGCATTAGTTTAAACCTCAAACGTGCTACAGCGTGGTATGTTGAGTTAGTATTTTACTTAGAGGGCCTGTTTACAATGCGAATCTTAAGAAAAAGACGTACATGTGCTTAATTATGCACCAGTGATAAAAATAAAAGAAATGGATAGTGGTAGCCCTATCCTTGTCAATCTAAGCTAATTCCACCCAGATTTTGATGTTGAAACTGACTGTTTTGTACTGTATACACATTTGTGCATTATATATATTGATAGTTTTCAGTGGACTGGCTTCCCATCCCAGGTGAACCCTGCCTACCTCCCCTTGCTTGCTGGGGTAGGCTTTGGTGCCCCTACAACCCTGAATTGGAAGAAACAGTTGAAAATGGATGGATAGATATATTGATAGTGTATTCACTGATTAGCATATCTGCACAAAATGGTATGCCATTTTACCTTTGTTGAAGGTAGAAACTATGTAAGGTGTAAGACTACAGCATCTCTCCAATCAGTACCATGTCCTCATTTTGACAGTAGTTAAAGGCAGTTGTAAAAAGGCTCCTTATTCTCGGATTGTGTACTCTCACTGGTCACCAAGGCATACATTTGTCAAATATCCAGGCTTCTCTGGAAAGCATGTACTTTGCAAAGGTGTTTCAACAGCACAAGACTGAGCTGTCACAAACAGAGGAAAATATTTCTTTTTAGTGCTTTAAGTTATGACTTAGTTCTTTTTTAAATAGGCACAAAGTTGGTAGTGGAGATTGAAATTATGTTGCACGTTACCAATACTTGCTTTTTGTATTGAAGAAAGGGTGCAGTGGGTCACCCATTGGTCTCTGTTTTTTAAAAAGCACAGTACTGTTTTTTAAAAATGTAGAAAAACTGCTCAATATGTGAAATAAAAACCTATGAATTACCTTATCTTTCCTGCTTTTAATATACTTTAAAGTTTCATATTCAAATCTAAGAAAGTACGAAGGGTGTGCTAGTTTGATCCAGGGGACTTTTTGTTATTTGTGATGTTTCCAAAGATCCCATGTGGCCACTTCTTGAAGATACCTGGGATCTTTGACAGACATCCCACTCAAAGCTCTCTGCATAAAGACATCCCTTCCACCGCCAGCCTTTTTATTGGTTTTGAAAGCAAGGGTTTAATATTGTGTCATCTGCAAAGATACCGCATAATTAACTAAAATCAGCATGTTTATTTTCCCAGTATTTTTCTCCAGTGATCACAGTGTAGGAATCCCTGTGTGTGTGCTGAGTTTAAATGCATTGTGCTGTTGCCTCTTCAGAGCAGTGGGAAGAGCTCGGTGCTGGAGAGCCTGGTGGGCAGAGACCTGCTTCCCCGTGGCACAGGAATTGTTACGCGTAGGCCGCTCATTCTGCAGCTTGTCCATCTTTCACCAGAGGACCACAGGAAAACAGGAGATGAAAATGGTATCTTTTACTGTAGCTGTTAATGTAATACAGTGTGTAGCTAAGCTTCTTGGCATGCCTGCCCTAGTCCGGCTCTCTTAAATGATTGTTTCGTGTTTATTACGTGTGTATTCTGTGTACATTTTTCAGATCTCCTCAGACTGTCCTTCTTTCATCCAAGACCAATTTTGCTGCAGTGTTTGTAGCAGTTCTCTACCTATAAACTCTGTTGTAAACCAATGAAACTTGTGAAATTTTACAGTGGGTCCTGCTATTGAGGAATGCAAATTAAACAGTCAGTCGGAAAATATTATTTTTCAAATTATCTACTTTATAAGTGGTAACATTGGTTTTGCAAATTTACAATGTTATTTCTAAGTTTGTTTTACAAATTTACCAAAACAGTCACAAAAACTGTCATGCTATGCAAATTCTCTAGTTTCTCAAATTTATTTAAAACTTAACTTATAGACATCCTTAAATATAGGTTATATTCAACCACAGACTATAGTATACTACTGCTAGCTATTAAAATTACTTCTGCAGTTTCTAAAATTATGCTTTCATATGTCCATGCTATGCTAGGCCAGTACATGGACATGATTTTTTTGTTTTGTCATATTAGCAACAACCCAGCAACAGCCCTTTGAGGGAAAACAAAAACTTCCCCCATACATAATAATTGTGGGTTAAAATCATGCCTAGGACATATATCAATATAGAACCTGCAGGAATGATGAATTTGATCTTCAAGAGGAGTCATTTGACTTCTTTTCTGTGAAGTCAAGAGAGAATGAAAACACAATACAAGAGCAATGGATTAGGCCTCCTTATGCACCTTGATCATTAATAGTTATGGGATCAATAGAACATTAACAATTGGAATGTTAGCGTTAGTGCTGGGTCCCTGGGTTCAATTCCTGGGGTGCTGTCTGAATGGAGTTTGAAGGTGCTTCCATTTGTTTACATGCTCCAGTTTCTCCCACAATCCAAACACAATGTTAGGTTAATTGTCTTCTGGGAAAATTGTCCCCGGTGTGAGTGTGTGCATGTTTGTGCCTGTGTGTGCCCCTGCAATGGTCTGGCATCCTTACCAGGCTGTATCCCGCACTGTGCCCACTGCCTGCTGGTTTAGGTTCCGGCTCCCCCAAAGGCCTAGTCAATAGTACTAGTCAAGTAGTTGGAAAATACATGTTTAGTTAATAGCATGTTTAGTTAAAACTGCAAATAAATCTTTTTTGGAGGTTATCAAAGGAATGAAAATTGGCCCTGGTGTGAGTGTGTGTGTCTGAGTGTGCCCTGCAGTTGACTGGCCCATTGTGCCCTGCAGTGCCAAGATAGGTTCTGGCTCCTTTGCGATCCTGTATTGGCTTAAGAGGTTAGAAGATGGATGTATAATTCTGATTATAAGAAATAATTGAAATAAGCACTTTCTCCTGTGTAGCAAAGTACGTATCTCAAAACACAGTTAGAAAACATGAAAATCAATTAAAGAAGAGCACCATGTCTAGGGATGGTAGAAAATGTATATTGGGCAATTGAAAGTCACTTCAGAAAGACTTCAGATGGCTACAGCCTAAATGAAATTCCAGTAGGACAGTTCCAGTTTATTAAAAATAAACACTGGATTATTACAAAGACTAAACCACTCGGCCTCTGTAAACCTCAAATTTGATCGTTATTGTGACTTGCAAATAGGAGTAAACACAAGCTTAATGCTTTGTGTTTATCTAGCTGGGTTTTATGATGTCTTTGCTCATGGACGCAAGAGCAGGTCACTCCTTTTCTGCATGTTTCTCATCTCCTTGCAGAATACACTGTACTGTATAGAAGCCGGCATTTGGCTTTTCGTTTTCTTTAATATTGTGGGTTGTTATTTTTATCAGTTCAGAGGCGTAGTCTTACAAAATAGAAAATGTTAATGTTTAAATGATAATGCATTATTTAGGGAAGGGCTAAGTTCAATCTCTTAGTTTCAAGTGTTACTTGTTTTAAAATAGATAAAACTTCATAGAATTGTTATCCCAAAGTACATTTTCAGTAAGATGAAATTTAAATGATTATGGGTCAGAAAGAATAGAAAACTCTATTTTGAGAAAAAAAATCTTAATTGTCGCTTTTGGTCTCGTAGCAAAATGCCCATCTCTGACTTCAGGAAGTGCCTCTGAAGGGAATTTCATGAGAATTGTTAATTTAAAGGGGAGTGTTGCTCAGCACCACAACTATGGACTAACATGTTAAGTAATACAGTATAGATGCTACACCTAATGCCTTTTCTGTTGTGTTTTTCTTCAAATACAGACCCCTACGCATGGAAAAATGGGCGCCTTAATAAAGGTCTCCTCTTCCTCTTGTTTCTAGTCTGTATCTGTCTTCTTACTATGTGTGACTCTTTACTGCTTTGTGTCTGTCATGTCTTCATTTTCCTTGCTTTTACTAATGCTAAAATTGGTCTGGTTGCCCATATCATATGTTTGTCCAAGTAAAAACATGAGAGAGCCTTCTTGCTTTTAAAGCACATCAGGCAGCACTATCAGTGTACAAATTATGTTCTTCAAACCTTGTCCTTGGGCTTTCTACTTCATTAATATGATTAGTGGGCGGAGAACAGAGTGTTCGTGATCGACATAGAAACTGCATTTCCTGTTGATGTGACCACTCTAAAGAAAAGACTGACAGATTTTGCAAAAACTGGATATGTTATATTTCAACATTGTGTCTGATACCATTTCTAGCAGGGATAAAGAAAAAATATCACTTCATTTTTTACATGATGATATTATGTTGAATTGGTTTATTATGGTTTGATTTTTCTAATAAGTTTAATTTATCTGAGGTTTTGTTTGAGTGCAGTGTATTATGTTAAAGTCACCATTTTTGCTCACTGTATTCATTTTTTAATTCTGTTTAGGGTTTGCTATTCAGCTGTTTGTACTTGCTGTGTAAACATCTTTTGTAGCCACTGTGTGTTGCCATGCAGTATGACTCTATATTGTGTTACTTTACATTGATGTAAAGTCAGTCTGCTTAGTAGAGGTGTCCGGCAGACTGAAAGAAGCAACAGAAGTCTTGAGGACTATTTTTTTAACATCAAGCATTGATCTGTGTTAGGTGATACTTTGAATACAAGTAAATCACATTTTATTTGCAGCACACAAATCTTCAGCTTCATATTTTACACACCATTACATTCACTTGACTGTAAGGAGAACTATCATCAGAGCTTGCCAAGCAGCAAGGGAAAATATTTGTAATTGAGAAATACTGTATCTGGTTAAAATGAAAGTGTAAACACCTTAAGTACAAATTGAAAACATTGAAACTGCCTTGATTTATCACATCATTTATATTGGATAAGCAAAGACAACATATATTTGACTATAATATCTAAAATATGATGTGAAGTATTGTATTTTTGCAATATTGTAATTTTGCAGATCTGCTGCACTGGTCTGAATGTCAGAATATTTTGTTTTGATTTAAATCTGCTGGATATCACTGCAAGTTACCATCTTAAAACTAAAATGCTTATTACCATATTCTATATATGTTAATGAGCATCTAACTTCTGGAAGAAGCTTTGTTTTGCACTTCATTAAAGAGTGTTTTTATAATAGACTGCTCATTCTTAAGGATGTTGTGTACAATAGTAAAGTTACGATAGAAGGTATATGTTGTATGTTGTAGTTCTTTGTAATGAATGTATCCTTGTTCTTTTCCCTAGCTGCAGAGTGTGAAGAGTGGGGCAAGTTTCTCCACACTAAAAATAAGGTATGCTTTACTTTATGCTTTACGCACTGTACTTATATTGTGTGTTGTGCACTATGGCAGTTCCTGGATTTTAATGAACATTTGTGGTACTCCTCCCAGCACATAATTGGTACAGCCTAAATGAGTGTCAGAACATCTGTATCAAAAGAGCTCTAGCAAGTTGATAGATTTGATTAACTCTAGTTTGATTAATTTGAAGATCAATTAGACTTACTATAATTTTGGATATTTGAGATACTCATGTATTAATAGATATGACTTTAGAAATGCCTTGATTTAACAAGCTTCATATATTGTAAAACAATTTTAAATAGAATACTCTTTAGATGCCATAGTATACAATGAAAAAAGCATGAATGCAGAAATAAAATCTGTATATATAATGATTTAATCATTGTGAAATTAAAATTGTTATATTTATATGTACCTTTTAACGCATTTATCAATGACCTGTCAGTGTAGGAATAGTTCTGCAGAGCATCCTGAACTAGTGGCTTTGTCAGTGTGTCATAAATTAAAAGTATAAGCTCTGTCAGTTGTCCTGTTTAAATGACCGCTTCAATTAAATAAACAGTCAAGGCAGAAGCCATCATACTGAAACCACATGTCTTCACACAAAATCTGTCAAGAACTGTACAAGTCATTCTACTGCACTTGAGCCTCATATAAGTAGATCACATGCAAGAGCTTCCTTATAGCTCTATGCTACTCATACTATGAAAATGGAATCTTTCTGTTAAAAGAGTTAATAATAATTCACAGCCTCAGTATATAACCAAATTAAATAACAGGTTTGTCTTAAAATGTGTTTTTTCAACTTAAGTCAAAAATGAAAATGTTGGGCCTGAAGACTAGAAATCTTGGGCCAGGTTTTGATATTCCTTGGCTAATTCTTAGCCTTCTATGTAGTTTCCTGCAGATGTCTGCTGTCTTTATATCTTAATGTTCATTCTTTCATTTTAATATGAAGAACAAGTGTCACCTTGAATGTAAATCATACAAGCTGGCTTGCTTTTGAAAATTGATACCTTTTTAGTGGTGATGTAGATAATGTTTTTAAATTAAAACTTATATTCTTTTTATAAGGAGAAGTTTAAGGAATTTAATGGAATTAGTTCAGTGCTTCTGCTATAATCACAGATATGACGTTTACTCCTTTAGTGTCCCTAGGGAAGACTATTGGCTTATTTATTGAATTTAATTGATATATTATGAATACAATAAGATTAAAAATGTACAAATGTAAGTCTAAAAATTAGTATTATGCTATGATCAAACTCTTAGTGTTTGTGTGGTAACTTAATCTTTTTTTCAGATCTATACAGACTTTGATGAAATCAGACAAGAGATTGAAAGTGAGACTGAAAGGATTTCTGGAAATAACAAAGTAAGCAAGCTAATGGGAGATAATGATCTCTTTGTATTGTTACAAATGGGGGGGGTTAAGAAACTGAAAAAAATCCAGAATTGACCAAGCAGTTTAGTTAATAAGTGAAATAATTAATAATAACCTCCAACTTGTAAGTGATTTCTACCAATATACGCGAGTGGCTGGTATAATTAGAGTCATGTGAATTATTTGTTCTCTGGCACAGATTTGGTGAGAGGAGTAATAATCCAGGCATACTTGGTTAAACAAATATTTATTACAATGACACAAGACACAAACTACACTACACAGAAAAAAACATACACACAAGTTCCTCTATGTACAGTATTTACAAACGTTTCAGAGGCCTAAAGTTCTGGTCACCCAGAAAACCCCAGACTACTACTAAGCATTAAATTCTTAATGCCTTAATTCTAAATGCCAGAGGTCACAAAAAAGATGAGCTGCCTTCTAACTAAATACAAAGCAACCTACAGTTAAATCTCTCTCTCTGCACCCTGGATGGCACAAAATAAATGCACCCTAAACAGGAAAGACATTTCCAACTGGGGTATCTTTTACCTAGGAAACCCAAGTTTCCTAAAAACACAGAATAGCACACTCTCCAACAAGGTTCAAATCCTTAGCTCCAGTCAGGTTTGGTTCGGATGATCATGAAGTAGGGGGTCTCGCCTAGCACAAGCTTCAAGTCCCAAATCTTGCCGACTTTCTTCCTTTCTTTCCCTGTGCTCTGAATGTGATCTTATGTTGTCTGTTTCTGTCCTGCTCCTTTGCAATCATTTGCCCACAACTTATATAGGTACACTAAGATAAACTTTACAATTGTTTCTGCCCAAGGGACCCCCAGACCTCAGAAAACAGCCTCTCTCCTTTGAAGTTAGAAGTGTTTACCCTCCAAGTGTCACAAACTTCATCTAAAATCTAAGAGACACATCTCAGTCACTTAAAGCTGTAACAGTATTTTAAAGTTCTTTATCGTAAAAAGGCCTCTTGGAAACTGTTAACATTTGGGGATAATTTAATAACCCAGAAATTAAAATGAATTGTGATATTTTTAAAACTGGATTATTTATAGTAACTAGGCAGACCACATGACATGAATGAGGACTTGAATGAAAATAGTTCTTCTAAGGTTCTGTCCTGTAGCTTTCAAATGTAAAAAAAAATACAGTTTTGAAACAAGAAATTGAAGTTAGCTTTTTTTTAAAGCCAGGTGTAAATCGGGAGCGGTAAATCTGATACTATAACAGTGTTTTCATACATAGTCTGGATTCATTTCAGTGTTAAAATAAGTGTTTTACAGGACACCATTTGAAGGTCTGGAAAGATAATTATTCAGAGGTTACCTAGTAGCTCTAGTTCCCTTTCTGCATTGGGATGTCCCCTGAAACCCTTATATTTTAAAGAAAATAAGTGTTGTTTAATCAATTGGAGCAAATTCTAGAGCACAGATTACCAAACGCAATCTGCAGGTCAGCAGTCTTTTGAGGCTTACATTCCTTAAGGACTCCAAATGGTTTGGACTAATTACGGGCTTAACTGTAGCAGTTGAACAGCCTTTTCTGACTCCCTGGGAGCTGCTGATTTAAAGAAAGTTCAGTTTGAGAAAGAATTGAGAAATAAACAAAAATCATGTACCATTTTCTAGGATACTAGAACCATTTCGGCAGGAAGTTGTGACAATATGTTTTTGCAGTTTCTGATGTTAAAAGAGCACACCTAAGCTGCTCCCAAGTACTTTGTACCTGTGAGTTCGTCTGGCCTGTCATAATCTGACTGAGGTGGCCAAGCACAGCTATGGTTCTATTGTGTTTGGTCAGCCATAGACCCTTTGACTTTTAGTGCAGCTGCATATCCTGGAGGCCTGCTAGGCACCTGTAAACTTGCTGGTGATGATGGTGAGAGGCACACCACTCCTCTAGTCAGTCATGACTAATGACTGACAAGTGGGCATAAAGGCAGAATGCTCAGAATCCTCTTTCTTCTCTTGTGATATAGGACTTGGAGTTGTAAAGCCAAGTGAAGCGTATACATACAGCAGTTTTTATATAATACAATTCACAATAAGCAATAAATCATTTTTTAAGTCACCAAACCATTATACATAATTATTGTCCCTTTAACTCTAATTAAGACAATCTTTCCTTTTTTGTGTGTTAAAAATTGAAAATAAATATGAATATATATTTTAGAATGAGTGTTTACATCCGATTTTTAAAATATTTTTTAGAGTTGTTGCTAATTTTGCATTTAATTTCCACAGGGTGTTAGTGATGAGCCCATTCATCTAAAAATCTACTCTCCTCATGTGGTGAACCTCACTCTGGTGGATCTACCTGGAATCACAAAGGTATGATAGCAACATTTCAATACTGATAACCACAAAGAATTTTAGAGATGAAGATGTCTGCTAATATATCATCTTTCACTGTTGGAGTCAGTTTAGGTCCTGTAGATTGAATAAAACTAGACAGGACCTTTATAGTGTATTTTGTTTTTCAATGAAAATTCAATTAAAAGATGTGTAAAACAACACTAAACTTGTTTAAGCCTATTTGGCTATTGCTTTTATACACTACTGTATAAAGACTGTATGTGCTTGTCTTTTGTGAAGTTTGAATTCACAGATTTAAAATTTTAAAACTATCATTTTCATATCACACAGTACATTTTCACAAAGCTGGGATTCTCAAAAACTAGTTTCTGTTTCAGGGATTCAAATATGCCCTGCATAACCTTTTTTTTTCAGTAATTTTACAGTATATTGTGGTTTACCTCTAAAGTGGGTATTTAATCAAACACATAAGCAAAACAGCTTTCTAGGAAGCATTACATGGCACTGCTTGCTGCCTTTTGGAGACATTTCACATTTCAAGTAAATACTTGAACTCAAAGTTCCATTTCAATGCTTCCTCTTCATCAATGGGATCAGACCCAGCTCAGCAAGCAGCTTAGCAAAGAGCAAACGGCAACTGAGAATGGAAAACTATGAAGATGAGTGTTAACTCTGTTGCCTCATGATGTGAACTAAGGTCCCGGTGGGCGACCAGCCCAAGGATATCGAGGTCCAGATACGAGACCTGATCCTGAACCACATCAGTAACCCCAACTGCATCATCTTGGCCGTGACGGCTGCCAACACAGACATGGCCACCTCCGAGGCACTGAAGGTTGCCCGGGAAGTGGATCCTGATGGTGAGCTTTTTAAAACGGCAAAATACCTCTCAGTGTACTTGTTCGGAAGAATGTTGTCAAAGAATTCCTCTGCATCGAAAATCCTTAGGAGCTCAAACTATATTTGTCAAGTAAATGCAGTTTTTGTGTGAGTATCCTGCCCTCAGACAATGTGTTTTTGCAAAGATTCTTCTGTTCTCTGATGAATCTCTTACAGCATATTCTGTTTTGCTTAGCCTGTAATAAACAAATGTATTATTGTGTGACTACTTATTTATCATTGACTGACTACTTAATCTGTGCAGTTTTCGAAAAGGGTTTACTAAATTGGTTAGTTTTAGTTTTATGTTTTTAAAACTGAATTGTAACAGAAACTGGAACTGAATAATGAATACAGTGCATCATTTGGCAGGTTCTCACAAGCTGTGACCCTCTCTTTTATTTTTTTGGATTGTTTAATGGTTTGTTTGTTTGTTATTAAATATCTTAATTGTAAATGGGAATCTCATATATTTGTAATGATGTAACTTCTCTTGTTAGTTTGTAAATAACTTTAATGTTAATAGAATTAATAATAAAAACATACTAATGGGCTAGAATAATTGCCCCCAAAGCTATATAAGTTAATTCAGATGCTAAAATGATGAGCATTGTTTCCATTATTACCCTTTAACAATTGTAGAAACTATTGTCCTTTATTAATATCACCATCTGATACACTGTATATGGGATGTCATTCATAGATAAAGAAATTCTTTATGCAGCAATTTTTGCATTACGGTGTTCAAATCAAACACTTTTCAATAGCTGAATGGAGGGTTAAAGGAAGGTAGAGCAGATTCCTTTATTAGTCTTATCATTTGATTTTAAATAAAAGTTAAAAATGCATGCAGAGAGATGGCTTAACGTTAATGCAGTGGTTAAGGCTAGGGAGAGGTAATGGAAATTCTATGCTGAGGAGTGAGAAAAATACAGTGGAGTAAATACTCCAGCTGTGGAGTTTTCTTCAGGTGTTCTTCACATACGTGCAACGTTTTCTAATGTCTCTTTATTTTTTTAGGTTTTTACATCTTGTACACTGACAGCCCCCCACTCTTCTTGTGGTGAGGCTTGTATCTGGCTCATTGAATATATTCAGTCATGTCAAATACAGTATATAACTTACGGTACCAAGAGTGCCGTGTTCCATTGACTTCTTACAGGTAGATGATTGATACCAGAACTGATCATATGAAATATATTTGAAGGTTGCAATCCTGCTCACTGGATAGGAGTTAGGACTGTAAGATAAGTAGGCTGGTGTTTTGTTACTAATGAACTGTGTGTTTTACTGCTTTGTAGGACGGAGAACTTTGGCTGTTATAACCAAACTTGATTTGATGGATGCTGGCACAGACGCCATGGATGTGTTGATGGGTCGAGTCATTCCAGTCAAACTGGGCATTATAGGAGTTGTAAATAGGTGCCTGTCAGCCTGCTTATACTCTTGATTTCTTACTATTTATGTTATTATTATTGTCATCATCTTAGCAGACACCCTGATCAAGTGCTATGGATATGAAATTGACTGTAGAGATGAAGTAATTAGCTTGCAGATTATGTACCATTGTAGTGTTAGAAGTGAATTTGCATACTCTACACATTATAAGACATTGCAAGTAAAACTGTTGTATGCCAGAAAACTTCTATAAATCCCTCTAGCAGAAAACCTTTTTTGATTCACTGTAAGATGTACGAACTTTGTGAGTTTGAGGCTGTAAATCTTTTGTTGCTACTGATTTTTTTAACACTTGGACTTTGATTTTAAGAAGGGGATTCTTCTTAACATTTTTGCTCACCTTGCTCAACAAGCAAAGTTGTTGTGGCAGCAGATAAATGGCATCAAAATGGCTTTTTCTTCTGTTGGATTAGCATTACTTCACGTACACTTATACACATATTTACATAGTTACAGTTTATTACAGTATTTCCAAAAATTGTTTCTTAAAATATGCTTTTAAACACCATAGTAAAAAAAAAAGTGATTTTTCTTGCTTTGCAGGAGTCAGCTGGATATTAACAATAAAAAATCAGTGGCTGATGCAATTCGTGATGAACACGCCTTTCTACAGAAAAAGTATCCCTCCCTTGCCAATAGGAATGGTACTAAATATTTGGCTAGGACTTTAAACAGGTACGTTTTTTTGCTTGCTTTATTTTCCAAGTTACTGTAGCATGTTTCATATAGTCTTTTTCATTCATTGAACATAGTGATTTAGAGCTAAGTGAGGGAGACCAGAAAACTTTTTATAAGCGATGGACATCATCTTGACAAGAAAGGACAAAAGATATCTGATATATACACTTTTATGCCCTTCATGGTCAGATTATAATTTTCACCATGCTTAATTTAACACTTCACACTACATGCCTGATATTCCTGTCACTTTCAGACAATATTAAAACCTGACCCACAGTCTGCTTTATTACTTTTCCGATGATGTTGAGATATATTTAAAACTTACAGTGGTGTGAAAATGTTTGTCACACTGAAATGTTTCAGATCATCAAACAAATTGAAATATTAGACAAAGATAACACATGTAAACACAAAATGCAGTTTTTAAATGAAGGTTTTTATTATCAAGGTAAAACAAAATCCAAACCTACATGGCCCTGTGTGAAAAAGTGATTGCCCCCCCCCCTGTTAAAACATAAATCAACTGTGGTTTATCACATCTTTGGAAAGCTGAGTTCAATTTCTCTAGCCACACCCAAGCCTGATTACTGCCACACCTGTTCTCAATCAAGAAATCACTTAAATAGGACCTGTCTGACAAAGTGAAGTAGACCAAAAGATCCTCAAAAGCTAGACATCATGCTGCGATCCAAAGAAATTCAGGAACAAATGAGAAACAGAGTAATTGAGAATATCAGTCTGGAAAGGTTATAAAGCCATTTCTAAAGCTTTGGGACTCCAGCGAACCACAGTGAGAGCCATTATGCACAAATGGTGAAAACATGGAACAGTGGTGAACCTTCCCAGGAGTGGCCGGCCGACCAAAATTACCGCAAAAGGTCAGAAAAAAAACCACAACAACATCTAAAGAACTGCAGACTTCACTCGCCTCAGTTAAGGTCAGTGTTCATGACTCCACCATAAAAAAGAGACTGTGCAAAAATGGCGTGCATGGCAGAGTTCCAAGACGAAAACCACTGCTGAACAAAAATAACATAAAGGCTCGTCTCAGTTTTGCCAGAAAACATCTTGATGATCCCCAAGACTTTTGGGAAAATACTCTGTGGACTGACGAGACAAAAGTTGAACTTTTTGGAAGGTGTGTGTCCCATTACATCTGGCGTAAAAGTAACACAGCATTTCAGAAAAGGAACATCATACCAACATTAAAATGTGGTGGTAGTGTGATGGTCTGGGGCTGTTTTGCTGCTTCAGGACCTGGAAGACTTGCTGTGGTAAATGGAACCATGAATTGTGCTGTCTACCAAAAACTCCTGAAGAAGAATGTCCGGCCATCTGTTCGTGACCTCAAGCTGAAGCGCACTTGGGTTCTGCAGCAGGACAATGATCCAAAACACACCAGCAAGTCCACCTCTGAATGGCTTAAGAAAAACAAAATGAAGACTTTGGAGTGGCCTAGTCAAAGTCCTGACCTGAATCCGATTGAGATGTTGTGGCTTTACCTTAAAAAAGCGGTTAAGGCTCGAAAGCTCTCCAATGTGGCTGAATTACAACAATTCTGCAAAGATGAGTGGGCCAAAATTCCTCCACAGCGCTGTAAAAGACTCATTGCCAGTTATCACAAACGCTTGATTGCAGTTGTTGCTGCTAAGGGTGGCCCAACCAGTTATTAGGTTTAGGGGGGCAATCACTTTTTCACACAGGGCCATGTAGGTTTGGATTTTTTTTCCCTTCATAATAAAAACCTTCATTTAAAAACTGCATTTTGTGTTTACTTGTGTTATCTTTGTCTAATATTTCAATTTGTTTGATGATCTGAAACATTTCAGTGTGACAAACATGCAAAAAAATAAGAAATCAGGAAGGGGGCAAACACTTTTTCACACCACTGTATATCTTGATGCCCTTTGGGACATTTACTGAAATTTGCACAGTCTTTAGATTTTAAATTACACTCTCCATGGAGTTAGTGAGGAACAGTTAGAAGCTTATTTTATATAAGTTATGTTTATATTTATATGTTTATATTAAGTTATTTGATATCATAAGAAGAACATAGGCAAAATGCCCTCCTCTTATTTGTTCTTATCTGGTCTGTTTGGTACTTAGGGTTAGGATTAGTTAATTGATTTAATGATCTCATCCTGCTGTTTCTGGAAAGAAACCATGAATGGTTGATCCATACTCCGACACTTTGGTGAAGATGTGCCTCCTGTTTTCAATTTTTAATGCATTTCCACATAGATTGTAGTAAAGTTATCCAGCACTGTAGGGAAGGTAAGGTTTTAAAAAATGCCTGATAATTGACATTAAAGTTTTATATACGAAAGTGATGATTTTTGCACATTCATTTCTAACATTGTAATTATGTCCGCTTTTGTTGGTTTGTATAAAATGTTTCAAATAAAGCATGTTGTACTTAAAACACAGATTACTTACACAACATTGTTCCACAGTACACATTACAGTTTAATGAAAAACACAATACATTAAAATTTAGTTCAGTACCTGTTTAATGATAAAATATTGTTTTTAAATGCTTTTAAATGATATACTTTGGTCAGATTGGTCTAAAACGGCCAGAAACTGTTTGAAGCCAAAGTGAAGACTTATTTTATTACATCCCAATAATTGCATATTTTTAACGTGTTCAAATTAAGAATTACAATCATTGACTTTTTTGATCAATACAACAGATTACACAAGAAGATGACATTCCTTCTAATGCCTGTGACTAGGAATACAGTGGTGTAAGCAGCATGTAAAGGTTTCTTGATCCATAATGCAGTGTTTTTCCTTACAGGTTACTAATGCACCATATTAGGGACTGCTTGCCTGAGCTGAAAACGAGAATCAATGTCCTGTCAGCCCAGTATCAGTCTTTGCTCAGCAGCTATGGAGAGCCTGTGGAGGACAAGAGTGCCACTCTTCTGCAGCTCATTACCAAGTTTGCCACCGAGTACTGCAACACCATTGAGGGCACAGCCAAGTACATTGAGACTGCAGAGCTGTGAGTCATGTCTCACCTTGCCATCAGATACCTCCAGAGGATAGCTGCTGCATGTAATCTTGAATCTATCATTAGATAGAATGAACAGTAATGTTCCTTCCTCAAGAAAAAATTTTGCTGTCCAATTTCTGCAAAAGGTGGCACTGTGTTAAAAAGGATTAGGTGGTTCATGCGGCACAGGCTAATGGAGAATGTGAGGAATTGCTGTTGGATTTATTTGATTCTATTGTTCCAGTTTTTAATTTTAGTTGTATTCAGTCCAACATGATATTTAGAGAGTAAAATGCTTTTTTTGTAATAAGATTACACATGCTATTCTAATAGGATCATCCCAGTACATTGAAAACTTTTAACATTACATCCATTGATTTAAATTCTACACTTTTAACTACAGAGTAACATTTTTGCCTTTTTTTTTTCCCTGCATTGTTTACATGTAAATTATGTCAGGTCAGCATAAACATCTAAATATTCCTCATATGTTGCCTCAAGCTTAGCATTTCCCTTTTTTTTCCATCTTAAAAAAAATCTTGAATTTTACCTAAAACGTTTTGAAATATATTTGCTCCTTCTACAAAGTTTGCTAATCCTCATATTTTGGCATTGTCTGCAAAGTTTGCTAGAAAACTGTGATCCAAATATTGTATTATCATGATTTATGAACTGATGCTTTATGTTCCCTAGTGCTTCATTCTTTACTAGAAAACAAGGGTTTGGCCTAAGAGAAACACAATTGAGACAATTATTACAAAAAAAACTTTTTCCTTGAGCATGGAATTTGTTTTAAATTAGTCTCTTTAATGTTTCAGGTGTGGTGGAGCTAGGATTTGCTACATATTTCATGAAACATTTGGACGGACATTAGAATCGGTCGATCCCTTAGGAGGACTCACAACTGTAGACGTTCTGACTGCCATCAGAAATGCCACGGTGAGTGTTGTGGTGCATAAAATGAATCTGCATGTTTTATATACAATATAAACCTGTACACATGATACAAATAACTGATCATGTACTAGATGGATAAAAAAATCCTGGAGTTTCTTGAAAATTAATAAAAATATGTAGTTTTCTTTCTTGAACTGTAGACCACTGAGCCTCTCTCAGTTATGGATTTTGTTTGTTGATTTCCAGGAGCAGCCCACTCCACAAATGTATCTCCATGTCTTCTTGCTGTTAAAGACCAATGAATGTTCAGTGTGCTGTTATCTTTTGGTGTTGCACAGGGGCCTCGCCCTGCGTTGTTTGTCCCCGAGGTGTCCTTTGAGCTGCTGGTGAAGCGACAAGTGAAGCGTTTGGAGGAGCCCAGTCTGCGCTGCGTGGAGCTGGTCCATGAGGAAATGCAGAGGATAATTCAGCACTGCAGCAATTACAGCACACAGGTGGGAGTCCAGACTGGAGTAGAGGAGAAGCAGAACTCTAACCTCACTGCCTTCACCATGTGTTGCACCAGCTGTCATCAGTTACGCACTGCCTTAATTAAGCCAAATTCCTACAACAGCCAGACAGTTGGGACTTGAGAGATGAGAGTTGAGAGATGCTGGCATTGAACGTTTTTACTGCTTATGCAATGCAATGCTTCTATGGATACAATTTTTGCATCAAAATACACTTGAAGCACAGCATGCATTTTTATACACATCCACAAACATTTCTACAGTAGAATTAGAAAGCACATACAAAAATAACCAGATGAATTCATCATTAGTTTTTTTTTATGCCATTAAGCTAAAATTTATATTGTTTTGATTAGGAACACCTTCTGAAATACTGTTCAGAGTTTTCCATAATTGTTTACATTAATCTATACACTTCTTTGTAAAAGCGTGAGTATTGATTGGAAACGTGATGCTGCTTTATGCACACACTGCTAGCTTTCCACAACCTACAAGCTGACAGGAGTCATTAACAAGCTACTATTTCTAACTTAATCTCTACACGTTGTTTACCCTCGCAGAAGAGCTTCCAGTCCCAGTTGGCTTATGACCGATTTGAACTAGAAATGTATTAACTAAAGTGTACAACCTTCACATCTTTATAGTTTTTGTCATTCAGGAGTACGAAGTATACTTATTTTAGTTAGCAGGGTTTCATCCTACAATACAAATTTACTGAAATTAAAATGTATTTTCTCTAATCTGCAGCGTTTTATGTCTACCAGAGTCTCACACACAGTCAGTCAGGGACTGAGTACTTGTTATACTAAAGGAGTAATGTTGACTTCCACAGGAGTTGCTGAGGTTTCCAAAGCTACACGATGCCATTGTAGAAGTTGTCACATCCTTGTTAAGGAAAAGGCTACCTGTTACCAATGAAATGGTAAGTTCATTTCTATTCTGTACCATTCTAATAGGAAGGCTGTATATGTTTTATACAGCAACTGCGTACTATTGACTAAAGTATCTCTGTCCTTGCTGTCTGTAAATGTTACTGTGCACTCTTTCTGTTATTGCAGTAGAATATGGAAAAATATTAAATGCTTTAGATTATCTACATGTTTGATAACTAAAAGCCATGCATGAAAGAATATTCATTTATTTCTTTTTTTAATTATATAGTGTTAGCATGCCCAAAGAGGTTGGGCAATTGATCTTGGACCCCTAGAGATTTTTTTTTATCCTTACTAAGGAGTTTTTGGTTCCTCTCCTCCGTTGTCTTTTAGTCTTTTCTGTTCTGTATTCACAACATGTATGGGCACTTGTTTTAAGTGCCTTTTGGGCAACCTTGTTGTGAAAGGTGCTATATAAAAATATTTTAATTGTACTCGACACTATAAAATATTATAAGCATTATGAGATGTTTTATAAGATAGTTGAAAATATTTCAGCCAAAATACCTACCCTGAAAATGAATTGCCTTTGTGATTTGATTAGCTTCTTCCTTTTGTGTGACTGTTTTAGCTTTATTGTGTAGTGTTCTTGTCATGTTTTCCTATCTTTTATGAATTGATAGTGTATGTTAAAGAAAACTCTTTTGATTGACTTGTGTCTAACTTTGTCCTCTTAGATTAAGTAAAAGCAGGATCATCCCTGTACTAAATGAATGTTATATAATATTCCAGGTGCACAACTTGGTGGCTATTGAATTAGCTTACATTAATACCAAGCACCCAGACTTTGCTGATGCCTGTGGACTTATGAACAACAATGTAGAGGTGAGGAGAATTTCAGAAAACAACATGTAAAGTGTCTTTAGACTGATGAAATAAAGTATTTCTGCCTCAGTGGGTCAAGAACGGCCAACAAAATCAGGTGTTGAACATCTGAAAATATTAACATCATGACACATGATTAAAATGTAAAATTTAAAGAAGAAACATTTTTATCATCTGTTTAATAAGCAATCTAATTAATTTACTTTAAATCTTGTAGATTCTGTTTTTTTAGTTTTAAAGAAAAACAACTTTCTCATTATTTTTTGTGTAGGAACAGAGGCGCCAAAGAGTACGAGACATGCCCTCAGCAGTCCCTCGTGATAAGGTATGGCATTTGCATTGAACTTACTGAAGCCAGTGTATGTTCTTTTCTACGCGGTTATTTTCACTAGAAATTGGAACAAAGAAGAATTTTTGTATTTAATTTAGCATATTATTTTTTTAATTCTATATGGGTATTTCTATCGTGTTACAGACTGGTGTCCTTCACACTTACACCCCTTGTTTAATAGTTTCCAGTTACTCCCATCAGAATGCAGATACAAACTCTCCAACTCCAAAACCAACAGATTTAAGTTCTCATTCATACCTGTAGCCATCTCATTACTTAACACTTGACTTTCAATGCAAATATGTATGTTGTGTATCGTTCGTCTCGTTTTTTTTTCTGTCTGTACACCAGCACTGCTGCTGTAAAACAACTTGCACCCAGAGGGGTAATAAAGATTCTCTCTCTGGTGTAATGCAATTCTGATGACAGTGTTTTTTTAGTGTTAATTAGAACTATGGTTTGCAAAAGAACAGTGTTCTTGAAACGGTGTTCATCAGTTCTGTACAATATTAGATATTGTGAACAAGTCTTTACTTCATTTTTAATAAGGTTCAATAAAAAAGTACAGGAATGAATAAGAATTAGTCATCTTGGTTTTCTTCTGCTCACTTGAGCTGGTGGATCTAACATTAGACAGTAGTCAGATAGTTTGCAAGTAACTATCTTCTATCTTGTTAGATGATAAATAGAATTTATTTAAAACCAATGATAATGCTTCATGAGGTAGATTATAAATAGCAGTAGTTAGAGTATATTTGCGTAAACAGTAGAGAAACATTTAATTTTCTTATCTCTTTTCTCATGATTCTTCCACCTCAAGCTCACTGCTTTATCCTATGTCCATCTCTTGTACCTGTTTTAGTCCTCTAAAGGTCCAGGCTGGCAGTCTGTCTCCTTTTCAGAGTCCCCAGTTGCCACTGCCATGGAGGCAGAGGGAGCTAAGGTCTGTCTACTCCACAGTGTGATGTCAGCATGTTCTCAAGTGGACCTTTTTGTTCACAAAGTCTTACACGCATTTACCACCCACTTCTTCTCAGCTCTGGGCTCTGCTTATCGTAGTTATGGAGAATGTTAACCCTCGGCTACATCATGTAACCGAGAGATACTGTAGCACATCGCCAGTCCAGGAGCATGTTTCAGTGGTCTGTCACAGTTATTGGTTTGCGTAACCCCTCCAGGTTCCTGTGATGTATCACTTTGTACTTGCAGAGAAATCTGCACAGTCCCATGACCAGTCCGTTCTTCAGAGTTTCCATCTACGCAGTCAGTCCAGTTCCTCTTCCTCTCCTTTTGACCCAATCTTATTGGTCAAAAGTATTCCCCTTTAAGGCTAAAAAAATAAACTTTCCATTACAAAAATAAATGTTTTATTATCCTGCCCTGGAACACCCTGACAGGCTTAACTTTCCTTTGCCCTTTACGGTCAGGCTTCCATTCTCTGAAAGAATTATCCAGATCTTCTCACTACAATTCTATCACTGCACTCTTAGACGCAGGAGCTTAGACACAAACCCCCCGAGCCTAAGTAGTACACCTGGCTACTAATAAACCCTGTGAGTCAAGCCTGTGGATTGAGGACTCTTCAACTAGACCAATCACATAAATTATTTTTCTTCCAGTGGCATCTGTGTCACAAAGGATACTAAATAGGCAATTAAGCAAGGTTTGTCCAATTTTCACTCTCGGGGGAGGCGGCCCTGGGCAAAGCTTTGGCTTGCATCATCACATTGCCCTCCCTATTTAGTTCACTCAGATGTCATCCTTGAGCAGATAAGTGCGAATCGGACATGCAGTCTTAACAGACCACTTGGGTATGCACGATCCCACAGCTACCACCATTTGTAGTGAATTCTGACACCCCCCCAGGCCACATCATGTAACCCACAGATAGCACGTTATCTTTTTAATCTTTTTGTAATCTACAGTACATGCAGAGAACTTCTTCCTGAAGAACATCTTCAAGTCACGATAACAAACTAACTTTTTCTAAAGTGGGAATTAGAAGCTCATTTGTCCACAAGGTTGGTTTGAATGGACTTAAACCAACAATTCCTGTAGAAAAACAAACACAGAAAGATCACTCTACTCTCCATTTTCCTGTAATTGATTTAATTTATGGAACATGTGCTTTTTAAATGATCACGTTGATTTTTGATTCGAGTTTTTATGAGAAACAGATGACAATTGCTACATTTTTTTGAATTCTCATACTCAACCATAAAGTTCCTGGATCTGCTGCTGATTTGTGCATTTTCTTTGTATCCGTTGAGGAAAAGCTTAAGCATGTATAAGGTGGCATGACATATGTTTGAACTGACTAATACCTGACTTACTCTTCTGACAATCTGAGCTGTTCCCCAGGGTACTGTGAAATATTCAGTTTTCATGAAAGAAAAATCAAATGGATTCATCTTACATATTACTTTTAATTAATTCTCATTTTATGCTCAGTGTGTATCATAACTATATCACTATCCAGTGCCCTTATGTTTCCTACTAAATTTCCACAGTAATTTTTAGGCCCAGTGAGCTTCTTTGTCTTAAATAACCTCGGGGATTTCAGTATAATTTAATTCTATATTAATAGCTTGGAAAATTATCATTTTTTATCTACAGAGACATTTTCTCCTGGTAGGAGTAGCAGCTGTAATAGTGTAATATGTTTCTTGTTATTTGGGACCACTTCGAGGGGTTCACCCTGCATCTACCAAACAACAAAGAGGCAATTTACAAATAACTATCTGCAATGAATCTTCCTCTATTGCCTTCCTGTAACCTTTTTATCAGGTACATTGCACATCATTAGGTAATACTCATTCATAAAGGAAAAATATTCTTTTAGCCTTTCTAGTTTTATGTGTTAAACGTGAAAGGGATGGGGAAATAAGGCTCTGAAAAGGAAGTACAGTGGTGCTAGAAAGCTTGTGAACATTTAATGTTGGATCATTTTGATCAGTAATATAATAATAATAATAGTCCCTGTCTAAATATTTACACTACTTACTGTTGCTAAACTTCAAAGCTACCATTGATAAAAACAAATGTGATAATTCAACTAAATCCTATAGCAAATGCCGCTACTTATTGTACGTGAATAAGTATATGTACCGTAGATCTATAACTAGATGCCTTCTTATTCTATTTAAGGGGGACCAGGAGGCAGGAACTGGTAACTGGAGAGGGATGTTGAAAGCATCGACAGGTGACGATGGGACAGAAGAGAAGACCAAACCCCAGTCCTCACTCCCTGCCAGCCCCCAGAAGGGCTACGCTATCAACTTGCTAGATGTGGTAGGTCTTCAACTTTTGAATGGCTGTTACCTTCTTGCAAAATTTGCAAAACACTGTGGGGGTTTAATTACAGAAATGTATTTTTCAGCAATTGCAACAGTTCTTACCGAAACATGTCTTTGGGGTGTAAGTATTAGAAGAAGTCAGAAACAAATTGCACATTAACATCTCTTTAGACTGAGTGCCACGGTCACCCTTGACCTCTGGACTATAGGGTACATCCTGTCCTTCTGGGCAATAGATGTAGAACAAAAGAGCCATTTTACTAGTTGAAAAAGTGCATTTCTAAGTTTTAAAATATACATTGTATAGTTATCTGTAGGCAATGTATGATTTTATCATGCTAGAGTAGCTGATGATTGTATCAATGCACTCTCTTCCATTTCTTGTGAAAATGGAATCAATTATTCTGCTAGTGTTTCTGAATTAATATTCTAAATAAGCTAACTGATGGCATGGTGTATCTGCTGACTCTATCGTTAAACTGTTTAACTATCATTAAACGCATAATTTGCACTTATCAGACTGGGGTGCATTCTTTTCTTTTTTTAAATTGTAAACTTATCTCCCTGCCCATAATCAGCTCTTGCAATGAAGATATTTTTTTCACTCAAGCTTTTAATTCTGTGTAATTTATTGTTTTAATTTGTGTATACGTGTATTTTTACTGTAAATGTACCATTTCATCTTCAAACTTGTGTGACAGAAATCACATAGGGGGTTTAATACTTAGCTTTCTAAAATTCAAGACAAAAATTACTTATGATAACAGCTGTATTTCATCATCATTATTTGGAAATATCATATACAGATACAAGGCATATGATGTCTTTCTAATGGATACGCATACTGTATCCACAGTCGTTATAACTGAAGGTGGAAACCTCTTCCTGCAAGGTATGAAACTACCCAAAAGAGGAGCAATGTTTTTGTCCTGGAATAATGTGGAGACAAAAGGAGTTAAATGTAACTAATAAGGAAGATGCTAGAGAATCCATCATTTTTCCCATGGTTGTCTCTCCATAGCCTGTGCCTGTTGTAAGGAAGCTCTCAGCAAGGGAGAAGCGTGACTGTGAAGTTATCGAGCGGCTCATCAAGTCCTATTTTTTGATTGTTAGGAAAAATATCCAGGACAGGTTTGTCTGTTTTTTTTTTATTGATCTTCAATTAAAAAATAGTCATTTACATTTTTAATAATTTTATAAAAAAGCTATGCGATTAATGTGCTTATCCTTGTAAGGCATTTTTCTTTATGGTGTTCTTTGACCACAGATTTCTTGTGTAATTGGTGCACATTATGAAGACTGAGAGTCTCTATGTGTTTGCATGCCCATCTCTCTATATATGTATAAATGATCATTTTTTTCAGTAATCAGACTGAGTTAAAAAGTTTCATAACATGAAAAATGTGTCCTGTTGCTTCTTGGATCACTTAGGCCACTGGCCATTGAAATACTAATGCCTTAGGTTGCATACAGTTTTCTGTCTATAAACTGTCTTTAAACTGTGCATCTCATGCTGGCGAATCACATATTCTTGTATTATGAAACATATTTAAATCTTCTGTATTTAAAAATTGAAATTGTTTGTAATCTGTCGGATTTTAAGAATAACATGAGCGAAAGTGAGTATGTGCAAGGATAACATTAATAATAAGCTGGAGGAATACTACTTGTTGTTGTCTTGAGCCCACAATATATAAATAATTGTTAAAAGTCACAGCAAAAAGGCTGTTTCACTAGTTAAAATTAGTTTCACCTGATTATGGAAACAGTTATCTCAAGACATTTCAATTCGGATTTAGAGGAAGAAAACGAAAGTGCCTCAATGATGCAGTAGACTTCAGCCTTCTTGCCTTTGTTGTGATTTGCTCTGTGTGTGCAGCGTGCCCAAGGCTGTGATGCACTTCCTGGTGAATCATGTGAAAGACAGCCTGCAGAGTGAGCTCGTGGGACAGCTTTACAAGTCCATGTTGCTTGATGACCTCCTGACTGAATCTGAGGACATGGCACAGCGCCGTAACGAGGCTGCAGATATGCTTAAGGTAACCTAGTATATCTCAAAAGCTTCCCTTCTGAATGAAGGGAGCTGAGAAAAGAAAAAAACAGGCATTCTTTGTGCTATATAATTTTTTAATTTATAGATGACTGTAAGAGCATTTACCAGATTAAACCAAAAAGTTTAGAATTTTTGTTTTGCTTGGATTAAATGAAGAGAACCAAATTTAGACAGATATTCATATTTAACAGTATAATGAAGAGACTTGTGTGTATAAAAGTATCTTTGCTTTAACAAGAGTCCTTTTTGCTGTCAGAAAAACTGATATTTCTTCTCTGTTGTAAAGGTTATCAATTCTAAGAATGCAAATGCTTTCTGTGGGTAGTTTCAGGTCCCACACAAATATGTTCTTTTCATTAAAATCTGAAATTTGTAGCAGTCAAATGTCAAATCAGAGTATTTAAAAATTTTAATCATCTCATAAATTTTAGAGATGGGGAAAAAATATATATGCAGCAAGAAAAGCCTTAAAGTTGCAGTACATTCACATTAAGTACTGTAATCCTTTTGTCTCTGCTTAAGATTTTTTTTAGTTAGCATTTTGTTAGAAAATGGCCTGTATTGTGGTTTGTTTCTGTTACACACTTTTGGTCCTGCATTGTATTTTTTACATATCTACTACAGAGGATAGGAATTTGTTGTTTTTTTTTCTTGAATGAGATACTGTAAACGAATTAGCTGTAACAAGCCATTTCTTATTAATGCATAGTAAGCTGAACATTACAATAACTTCTTGAAGACAGGTGACATTAATGGGAAAGATTTTGACAGTTTATTGTGGTATTTCAATTTCAAGGTCTATTTTAACTTTTTATTTATCAATAAATATCAGGGAAATTAGGTCATCTTATTGGAGCTGAAATCTATTCTTAAATATCCTTCTTCTCTTTTTTCAGGCCCTGCAGAGAGCCAGTCAGATTATTGCTGAAATCAGGGAGACACATCTGTGGTGAAATCATTGGTGTATCCCAGAATTCTGTTTAAGATGTCATTGACTTCAAAGCAGCCAACTTGAAAATGCACTGTTGTTAATTTGTGTACCACATTATTTTATTTACATACTTCAGCTACTTCAAGATGATTAAATATCATACTTCAACTGTACAAAACTTCCTGTTAAGTGGGATCTTTTCATATTTAATTAAATATACAATGTAAACATTTAAGATTCATTGTAGTGTGGCTTTCCTGAGAAAGCAATTTCCTTATGTAGCTTATATTACAAGTTAATTATATTAAAACTCACATTCACTTTAAATTGGACTGGTGTTCATTTGCAAACAACAGGTACAGTTTGTCAGTAATCAAGGAGGATACAAGTTATGTAGATGAGAATAAATATACTTTTCTTAAACATATAGCAGCAGAGATTGTGTGATCATACTGTATGTGGTCATAAAGATGCATTTAATGTGAGATTGTGACATTGTATATCTCAATGTATGTAAAAATATAGATAAGGCCCACATTTTCATTGGAATGCACCAACACATCAATAAGTGGTGCTATATAGCTGTCGTCATACATCCTGAGACATACCAGCTTCAGTAATATTATTCACTTATTTATTGATCATAATAGTTTTTAAGCAATTCTTATATGATCGATATCACTTGAAAGTGTATTGAATGCTCACTTATACAGCAAGTGGTTTGTATAATTTCTAATGAATTAACTAGTTTAAGACAGGTTCTCCTTTTCTGCAATTCTGTAGAAATTCTGTAGAATTTATTCACACCTTGTATCTTAAGAGTTAATTTATCACAGATATTACTTTCAAACACTTTCATCCTAGCATTTCTGCAATTTCCCTCACGGGATCAATAAAGTATCTATCTGTTCTATCAGCTTTCAAGGCTGATATTTAAATATGAAATACAATGGAAAAAAATATCAAATTAGTGAATGGAATTTAAAAGATAGATGATGCCAATGCATATTGTTACAGTACAATACTATAGTTATTTGAAAGGTTATAGAAACTGTATATAATTACAAATATAACTGTATGTTGTTCTACATAAACAGGGACCCTTCATAATATGCCTACAAAGCATTACCTGACTCTATACATTGAAGACTGTATTGGTACTGATAGAATCATGCCAAGCCTGCTGAAATAAAACAATTTAACTACTTTTCAAATTTTGTTAAATTTATTATTGTTCAATAATTAAACCACCAAAGAACTGCATATTGCATTTTACATTATTCTGCCTGAAATGTTTCTATTATGATTGAGGAGGGTGTCCTGCTATCTTGTTATCATGCAGAGACGAGGGTAGTTTCTGTGTGCAACGGTGTAGATGTCATTACAACCATGAGTGTTGGTAGCACTTCTTTTTTTTTCTTGGCAATAACGGAAAAAGGGTAATTAACATATTTACATGTGTTACCTAGAGTCCAAAGTATTATTAGTATAGAATGTTCAAAAGTTAAATGTTAAACTCTGCAGCATTTGATTTGTCTTGAAATTCAACAGGATTAAACAATAGTTTCATATCAGCCTTTCCCTTTAAATGTGCTGTACATGTTTTAAAGTACTACATTTTGATATGCCTGTGGAGTCAGCCAGTTAAGGCTTGGATTTATAATAGCCTGCAAATATGTTCATACCATTGAGTAGTCAAAAATAAGTTGATTTAACAAAGAAAATACACTTGATTTTTTAACATTTAGGAATTAAAATGTGTTAAGGATTTTTTTTAGTTATTTTAAATTAATGCAGGTGTATTCAGAAATAGTGTTACAATCTATCCATATCCTGTAGATTGAAAATAAATGCTGTACATTAAATCCACTAATGTTTTTAGACAGGTGCTAGTTTCAAAAAGCCTCAGAAAGCTTATTGTAAATTATCAACTGCAGTAACTCTAGTAGCTATTATTAAATGTCCATCAGATGATTCATTTTTGACTAAAATATAATATTCCCACTAGGAAGATGATGAAAGAATGTTGGTTAGAAACATTGTGGAGAATAACTCTTACTTGGGCAAAAAATTGGGAACCTCCACAAAGCAATTTAAATTAATTGACTCCCAGTTCAAATTCATATTGCGTGATATGGTTACATGAAGGACAATTGTTTTTCATTTTGTTCAGGAAAGGTTTCTGGTCTCATCAGCAGTATACTGTAATTGGCACTTCTGTGAATCACCTTCTCTTAAGAATAGAAATAAATGATCTCTAAATGTTGGTTTGCATCCTCTGGTCATGGGGTTTTATATTCAGGATTAAGGGCTACTGTAAATACATTGTAAAGTTTGTAAGGATATTTTAGCCCAAAACTGGTGCCTTCTATTTGTAGTTACAAATGAACTTTACAGTAGAATAACAATACAAAGCATACATCAAGTACAGTAAGACAAAATAAAAGTGCCCCTTGATTGGATATCACAGCATGTAGCACGAGTAGAGATCATAATTAGCAGTGATTTTCTTCATGGAACAGAGTTCTAAAAGTAGTTTGATGATTAGTTCATAAGTAGTTTAGAATCATTAAAATATTACAGGAAGGGCAAAATTAGGGTTCACAGTATATTGGGTGCTGGAGTATAATATATTTAAACATCATGCATTTAGAAATGTAACTTTTTTGATGTTCTGTTTATACATTAAAGTTAATATTTGGATTTTCATAATTGTTGTTGAAATTCATCAAGGGTAGAAATTAACACATTGATTAAGTACTGCATGACAAGGTCAAAATACACAAGAAAAATTGAGTGAATAATTAATTGTACAGTGTTGATGTAGGAAAAACAAAAGAGATTTGGCATACTTCATTTCATTTTTTCAAACTGTAAAAAAGCCTGGGAAATTTCAGACTCTAAGCCAATACATATATTAGAGTTCATAATAATTAAAAATGAAGGCATATATTTAATACAAAAACAGAAGGGAGTTCCTTGCACAGGTGTGAATGCTTAAAACCTTCAAGACCATATTTAATGAAACTGGCTGATAATGTTCTGGTATCTGAATTTGACAGATCTGGTGGACTGAGAGTCAGTTCTTTCATTATCATTGCTATTGTCGAACAAAAGGGCTGAATATTTTGCTGTTTTAAATTTGTCGCCCTTAATCTCCCTGCCTTGCTAGATACTGTACTTACTGTATTTAGACAAGGAAATACATGTACAATCACTTATTAATAGGCATTTTATATTTTAATATTTTAAACTCCTTCCTTGCCATTATTATTGTTACTCTTGACCAGAATTTTCAGACCTTGAAGTTTTGTTTTTGCTATCACGCTGATGTCAAATATCCCATAGTATTGTGCTCTTCTTTTGGCATGCTGTCTCCAAAAGGGGTGTGGTGGGATTTGTGCACCAAGCCTGGAGGAGAGGAGGCTGTCTAAGATGAAAATGAAGTATTTGATAGGGTTCCTCCTTGGGTTAAAATGGAGGATTTGTATTAGTTATCAAATCATGTCACATTCACCTTATTTGATTCCATCTCTTTCCCACTACCTCACATCACTAATTGCACTACAAGGCCATTTTCTGTCTTCAACTTCAAGTCACAATATTAAGAAACACATGGCTTACTTGTTTGATCAAGATTCACAGATATGTTTTTAGATTTCATATAGAACTGTCAGGCAGTTTCCCACTTTCATTCTAGTCATAGTTTCTTATGTGTAAATTGAAAAAATTGAGGGGGTTAAATGATTTTTTTTGTTTAGGAGTTTTTTTTACAGAGGACCAGAACTCTGAAACACAGGTACAGCATCCAGTATCAGATATTTTATTGTTTTACTTTACATAACACAGCTCCCACACATACATTTTCTTTTTTTGTAATGATTTTCATAACTTGGAATTTCATCAGAACCACTAATAATAAAAATGTATTTTTGTTCTCAATACGCTACATTTATTTTCAAGGCATTGGAAGATTTATTGCGTTAAGTGACATACTGTATATATTTAGGTTTAGCGAAAACTAGCATGATAAACTTTAGAAGGAAAACATTCAAGAATTAAGTGCATTCATAAAGGAAAAAGGTTCTTTGCAGATATCAAGTGAATTATTTTTTTTTAATAAATATAACACAAAACCATGCACAGCAGTGTTTGATATTGGCTTCTCCCATGTTACTTCTGAGGGCATACAGATTTCTGCTTCCTGGAACTTTCTATTTCCTGAATTCGCATTCTGGTTACTTCCATCGACCACCCACCTTGCCCTTCCCAGTACGAGCTCCTTTGTTGCTGCTGTAAGTACAGAACAGAAAAGCTCCTTTGAAGTCCACTCTCATCATTGTTTTACAGATGCTCAAACCATTTTAAAACATAAAACACAAAGCATGATGTGAAATATATTTCTACCTGATGTATACAAAACTGTCATTTTTCTGATTATTCAAATGTATTTTAACATTTTACAAAACTGCATCAGTCAAGTACAGGAGTGGAAGCATTTCTGTTAAACAATTACCAACAGAACATATAACAAGCAAAATCAGAGGTGCATTTTACACTTCTTCAATATAATGTACTTCATATTTTACCTGCACAAGTTTACACCATAAACTATGATACTTTAAGCCCCCAATGTATTCACATCTAACTGCTTAAAATGTGTGTATTTAACTACAAATGACATTTTAAAGATAGCCATATGCAATGCTATGAGTCTTTATTGGAACATTTACACCACATTTCTGTTTCTCTGTGTGTTTTTTTGAAGAAATGATAAAATTTCCCCTTTTAAATAAAAAAAGTCAAATAGCATCAAGTGGCACTGAAAGCAAAGGGATGATCATTTTTTTAGGCAATGAGAACTGTTCGCTAAATTGAAAATTAATCAGAACTGGAAAAGACACAGGACAAACTGGAGAGATTGGGATAATTGGAGCCCATCTCTTCAGTTTCAATACATGTGAATGAGTTGCATTGGATAAATTTGTGGTCATTTGTCATCTTTATATGTGACCAATAAGTGATATGTAGCAGATGTTTCACGCCAGTCAGAGCAACAAAAAATCAATTTCCTGAAACTACTGTATATTAGTTAGCAAAGTGTAAAGAAACTGTATGTGAATGGAATAGACCTATTCTGAATGTGTCCAATAGAGGCAGAGAGTGTTGCTTTGTGTAAATTATTATATTTAGCCATACTTGTCTTCACCCTTGTCTTTTCTTTTATGCAAATTTTAAGGATAAAATAAATTAAGTGGAAGAATTATATTTTTTATCTTCCCTTTACTAAAAACACAGCACAAGTTTTTTTAATAGTTAAATGCTATTGTGCTTTCCTTTATGCAAAGAAATTTGTTGATGATGAATATTATTTCAGAATTTCACATGTAAATTTCATAGCACTACCAACACTGTGCAAAGTGTGAAGACACATGGATCACCTCATGTCTGAGAACAGCTATTTCAAAAGAGGCTGTTCAATATAACCAAAGTGCTGCCAACGTAATCAGAAGTCTAAACGCCTGTGAATATACCTGTGAGCTGACCTTTTCTTGGTGATTGCACAACCAATACCTTCAGTCTAACTAATACTATTTGCCTTTCTTTGGATATTTCAAAACGTTTTTCTCCTGCCTCAGTTGAAGAAAAAAAACAGCTACGGTTTCATAAGTGATATGTGATATGAAACTTAACCGTGCCAGCAGCCATATCACCCTGCAACTCACAACTGGCAGCCCACTGAAGCTAAGCAGGTGTGAGCCTGGTCAGTACCTGGATGGGAGACCTCCTGGGAAAAACTAAGGTTGCTGCTGGAAGAGGTGTAAGTGGGGCCAGCAGGGGGCGCTCACCCTGTGGTCCACGTGGGTCCTAATGCCCCAGTATAGTGATGGGGACACTATACTGTAAACAGGTGCTGTCCTTTGGATGAGATGTAAAACCAAGGTCCTGACTCTCTGTGGTCATTAAAAATCCCAGGGTGTTTCTCGAAATGAAAAGAGTAGGGGTGTAACCCCCGCGTCCTGGCCAAATCTTCCATTGGCCCTTACCAATCATGGCCTCCTAATAATCCCCCTCTATGAATTGGCTTCATAATTCTCTGCTCTCCTCCCCACTAATAGCTGATGTGTGGTGAGTGTTCTGGTGCACTATGGCTGCCGTTGCATCATCCAGGTGGGGGCTGCACATTGGTGGTGGTGGAGGGGAGACCACCCATTACCTGTAAAGTGCTTTGAGTGGAGTGTCCAATATAAGTGTAAGCAATAATTATTATTATTATTATTATAAAGTATACGCAAATGCTTTAAAACACTCAGGAGATTGAAAATAATGTGATCGATAAAAGGATCTGACTCATAGGCCATAAAACAACTAGAATAAATTCACATACTGTATTGAGATGGTTTTATGATGTCAGAAGCCCCTCACTATTCTTAACAAAGTGACCTTCTTCCAGCTGTGGTGTGATAACTATTACATCATAGCCCAGAAAGACCCAATGATCCCAAGTCCATTTAATTGAAGCACAATAAGCAGTGTAGCTTGTCAATCACGGAACCAAGTAAGAAGCACATTAATCTGGAAGCCTTGTTAAGTGCTTTGTGAACTAGCTAAAAAAAGCTTGGGACTCAAGCAATGGCTGTGATAATAGCTTATACCTCATTTCTTTGAAAATTAAAGCTCATTATGAAAAGGGCATTGGACAGCAGGCAACACTGCAGTGACTAGAACATTTGTGAAATTTACTTACAACTTGCCCATCTGGTCCTCGATTCGGGCCTGGAGCTGATTGACCTGCAAGGAATTTAGAGATTTAGTCTTTTTAGAAAGAGCTCTCTTCTATGCTTACATTAACAGAAAGGGACAGTAGCAGAGTTTGAAACAATATGCACCACTTCTGTTTTATTTCTAATTTCCAGTCCTAACTACATTTGTGGTTTTATTTCAGCAGTCTTTCTACTGACGGTTATCTGATTTTCTTTGTCTTTTCATAATTGATTGAGTGAAAACAATGCAGTATATTATTTCAGTGATACATTAGGATGCATCAGTGGATTATTTTTTTTCCTTGTACATTTTGTAACAAGATTAGGAAAAATAAAATGGAAAAAATAAAAGGGGAAGCCATCACGAAAAACTCAGTTTTGACAGGGTTACTCTAGAAACCAGTGTAGTACAGCACATACAGAAGTCTTTAACTAACTTTTACTAACTTCTTTCACAATAACTCCTCTTTTCACATTTTTGTTACATGTATGTTGTTCTATGTACAATTTGTCAACACCTGGACCAAATAACAA